TCAGGAAAGAATTACTGTAACTGGGGGAAAAAAAGCAGTTTTCTTTTCATGGAAGCAGAAAGCTCTCATTAACTGTCATGGGACTCTGGTGACCCTTTGAACAGGAATACGCCTGTAAAAATATAGACTTTGTTCTATTTATCATTTGACTGTAATTCCACCCTCTAGATGATGAAGTTTCAGTGTGTATTAGATTTGCACACTGCTTTTAAATGATGCAACTGTTTCATGGTTTCTTTGGAATACATGTGCGGGATTTTTCAGACTGTAGTACTGGATCTTGTAGCATCCTAAAAATACTTGGTTTAGGTCCATCCAATTGTATTTGAGCTGCCTGCATGTTAATATTTTGCAGAGCTCCTCTCTGGCTCATAACATACAGCAGTACTCACAGAAGTCATGAATGAGCTCAGGCGTTTGGGAATACTGTCATGGGTGCAGCTGTGTAAAAAAAAAAGTTTCAATGAATGGTCATGCTTACTTTCAGAAAAAGGGAAGATTACTACCAATTTTCCAAGCTTGTCATAAAGGGGGCAATAGATTGATCTGGGAAAAAAAGGTCATTACTTTAAGAACAACTTTTTAATAGTTTAAAATGTTAAAGTTCTTGGCAATTTAGAATAGGAGTTCAAAATAAATGTTCCATTTCAGGCTGTTGTAATATTGTCATCCAGATGTGCTTGCTGCAAGCCAAAGAAACACTGGGGTTTTTTAAAACGTGTCTCATCTTTTGCCTTGGGGGCATCTTCTTTTCCCAGGTGGTGGCTGGGGGAGCAGACCTCTAACAGCACCCCCTGCTAAAGCTTTCTGCTATTTGGGGTAATGGGTGCTGGGATATTCCAGGTGGTGGAGAGGCCAGTGGGAGGCGAGGGAGAGAGGCAGGGGAGATGAGGAGGATGTGTTAGAGCTGTGTGTAGCTGCGCAGGGCTCCTCTGAGCCCGTCTTGCCCTGCTGAAGCAACCTGGGTGGCCCTGAGTGTCTCTGGAGCATGCTGGTGAGGCTTCCCAGCCTGGCCACAACCTCTGGGCAGGTAGTGGTGGAGTGAGATGACAAATCTGGAGGTGGCCTGATGCTAATGCTGCACCCTGCCCGCAGGCTCGGTTCTCCTGGCACAGAGCATTGCCCTCCCCTTTGGGAGGGTGATGACCCTTCTCGCGCCGTCCCCCAGCAGTGCTGTTCATCTGCCCTTGGGGTATCGGTCCTTAGGTGGCGTGGATGTGGGCTATCCTGTCTATCCCTCCTTTACCTTGGCAGTAGACTCCTCCAGCAAAGATGCTTTAACCTCCTTGGCAGAAACAACTCAGCACGACCCCTCACGGCGCTCCTGTGGTGCTCCCTCGCTCTCCTCTCCCTCTTCCCCTAGTTCCCCTATCTTTGCATGCCATGCTCACCTTCCCTTGCTGCTCCTTGAGCCTATAGTCCACCTTCTTCCTCACCCTGTGGCCTGTCCTGCTCCAAGCTCCGCCTCTCCATAAGGTGCCCTGTGCTCCCGCGGGCACCCAGGCCTGCAGTGGGCGCGCTTTCCCCCCCGGGGCTCCCAGTGTTACCCAGAGACCGGCTGCATTGTGCCTGTGCATGGCACCTGACCCGCGGGCTGCCCTCATCTGCCCTTGGCCCTCCCTGCACTCGCCCATGAACCGCACTGGCAGCCGGGAGTGATTCAGGCGCTGCAAAACCCGACAAACCCAACACTGGGCTTAGGCTGCCGCTAAAGAGACCTCTCCTGACTACAGCTTGTTAATGACACTTGGTTTAACAATGTAAATTTATTTTAAAGCAAGCAACAGTAACTTGCTTGGTCCTTAAAAATGGGTACCTGGTCAGTATAGTGCACTGACTTAAAAATTAATTGCTCGGATTGTTTTAATGTAAGTAAAGTTGTCTGCTAATATCGTCCTTTTACTTATCTATTGAATTTTCAAACCAGCAATGAAACTTTCTTATTATTGTCCGTTTTTGCACTACATGGGCAGGATAAAGGATGTAGTAGGGACTTTGAAAGCTCTGGCCAAAAACTTGATGATTAGAAGTTGAGAATTGATAACTGTGGTGGTAATGAGAAAGAGGAAGATCCTGAGGAGAGATTAGAGAGAATAAATTCAAATCACACTTAAAAGAAAGTGTAGATTACTATGTCACTAAAGTGGATTTCTGGAAAACAGTTTTCAGTTCCAGATATGTTCACTGCCTTTTCCTCTTTCCAACTTGACCTGCTCAAATAAGATTGCTTCTGTTTAGTCTGTGTCGATACGAATTTTGATGGGATCTAAACTATGTGGGAAGAAGCATGCCTCCTACGTAGACATCAATTTCCTTCAATTTATTGTTGACAGCCTCTTGTGTGACTTGCTCCTCTTAGGCCAATTTAGTAATTTCTGTTCAAAAGATGAGAAGCAACCAAGGACTGTCTGAGCCAGCCAGAAAACTCCTGTCAGGAAACTAAGTAAAAGCAAAGGATGAACTTCATTTGAAATTTGTAGTAAACTCAGAATTTTCCTGTGAAAAATTAAGTTAAATTGTTTATATTCATGGGCTTCTAAATTAAATACACCAGATTTAGTGCTTTGAAGTGATTTTTTTCTTTAATCCCCCTAACTCTCATAGACTAGATAATCTCCCATTTATTGCAACGGAAGGCGTAGTTGAAATACATGATACAGTTTATCTCTGCAAAGTATGAAAGTGCATTGAAAATAATTTTAAAACTGCTAACATAGCCAAAAAAACTCCAATTTGATTTATATTCCTCTGGCTATTTCAGTGACAAACAGATGGCTTTAAAGCACAGCTTTCGCATGCAGCATCCTACCAGCTTAAATGGCAAGAATTTTACATCCTGACTCCGTAACTGGGGCCACATCATGTTCTTTTCAAGGCTCCCTGTGCTGCTTTATTCAGCAGAAGGATTCCTCTGCAGAAATCTGTCTTCAGTTGTTACATTAGGGAATTAAAGTGTACAGTAGCTTACGTACAGAGATACCTTACATGAACTGTAGACCTTTAATTCCTTCTTTGGGGTAGCAAATGAAACCTTGCATCTGCCCAGGGTGACGTTATGGAACTATGGGGAATATATTGTTTCTAAGCAGCGGTAGAAGTCTCTCCAAGTAGGCAAGTAGGAAAACAGTATTGTAAATAGCAAGGTATTTTTTTTATAAAATGGTATTATTAAGACACAAAGCTTAGACTTACAGGGACTTTGTTTAGATACTGTTGAAACAAAATGGAGACTTCACCAAGATGTGGGAATTGAGCTGAAGTTGATTACGTACATGTTTCATTTTATTCAAAGTATAATAGCCATATGCCTAGTACATTGGACTGAAAATAAGAATTCCAAGCATGCTTGGAAGTCTTCTGTGGAAGCTGGAAAATATTCCGTAAAGATGCATGTTGTCAACACCCTATTTCTTTGTTTACAATAATATTACTGTAGAAGTGCATCCTGGATGTAATGAACTTTGCTGTGGTGAAAACAGGACAAGTAGGTTCACAGTAGCTGAGGAAGAATGGTGAGATTTGAACCATGCTTATAATTCAGGGTTGTTGGTAAGCATTAGTGTTGGCTTAAGTGGCATGCTCATATGGGAGTATCAGCTTTTAGAATAAGTGGTATTACGCAAACAAAGTGAGTTTCGGTGTGATAGGGAATAAGGTAAATAATAAGTAGCAACAACCTACGTGTGATTACATTGCTTAAACATAGGTAAAAAATACATGTTTGTGTCATATTGCACTATACCAATGATAAGGAACATCTGCATTCTCTTTGTTCACATTGCCTATTTGATTTTTTTCAAATATATTGACATGATATAAAGTAACGTTTTTACAATGATGTTACCTTATCACTTCAGAGTTCCAGATGTTTTTTCAGTAAGAATGTCACTTCTTAATTGGATAATTTTCTTCTTAACATTGTTCTTGTACAAGTTGTGAAAGCAGGAGGGTATTTGTAACTGTGATCCTTTAAACGTCAAGAAAATTTACTTAATTTGTTTAGGGGGGAGAGAGAGAAAAAGGTAGAAAAGCTGTCAAGTTTACAGAAATAATTGCTTTCTAAGTCTACAGGCCAAGATTTTCAAGGGACGTATGATTCTGTGTATTGCCACTCTAGGTGCCAAATTTGAAAATGCAGGTATTGAATATCTTAAAGCGTTTCAAGATAGATACCTAAAATCAGGCATTATTTAGACTGAAAGCCATTGTCGTGAGTTTTACTATTTTAATATTTGAAGTACTTTTTTCAAAAATGCAAAGTAAATGATTCAGAAAGTTCTATCCTGCGTTTATAAATAAAGAATTGTTGCTTTCCATGTTAGTCAAGTTCTTAATTTTAGAATATTTCAAAATGCTGTAATTCAATTAGGAAAATTTTACTTTGGGCTAATACTCAAGTAGTGGCTGTCATTAAGTTTCTGTCATTAAGTTACTGTATTTGTTTCTGAAATCATCATGAAAGAAGTACTATTTTTAAAAAAGGCCTTGTGATTCTGATTTTATTTTTATAGCAGTGTGAAGAGTAGAAGATTTTCCTGAACTGGTTTGTGCTTGCATAAGCTGCTAGGAGTAGAAATAGTATGACTACATGTGGTTAGTGGACTTTAAATAGTAACCATGGAGTATAAAATGCTCAGTTTTGAATTGAACTGTTGGGGCAGAAGCCAGGGCTTTTTAACCTTCTAGCCTCTAAAGTCTATGTACCAGAGCTAATTTTGAAAACACTTTGAGATTTAATTGTGCATTTACAGTGGAGTAACAGTAGTTTATTAATTCTAAAACCTGAAATGATGCATATCCATCTTAATGCATTATAGTAATTATTTTAGTTGAAGTGATTTTTATGCAGTAATTTATTTTTTACATTTCTAGAGTTAATCTCCTTTAATATATATATATACACTCCTATTATGTTATTTTACTAATCTTATTTAAAAAGGGAACATTAAATATTGAATACTGTACCTCAATTTTATTGTAATGATTTTACTGGTTACCAGGTGGGGTGGCAGTTGAAAAATTTGGTGAATGCACTACGAGAGGATCCGAGTGGTGTTATCTTAACTTTGAAAAAGCGACCTCAGAGCATGCTTACCTCAGCACCAGCTTTACTGAAAAATATGAGATGGAAGCCCCTTGCTCTGCAGGTAATGAAGCTTAATCATAAGTCATACACCATCATTTTAACTATAGATTATCTCAATGATGCTTTATTGTGCTTCATCTCAGCAGCATATGGATTTACTCTTGTATATTTTGAAAAATTGTTTCTGAAATGATTTCTCTGCAGTTTGTTCTCATAGGCTTAATTGAAATTAAACCTGTTATTAGATCTTCTCAAAGTTAAGAAGTAATCATCCCAGTGTTTTACAATGCAGAAAAGTAGCCCTAGATAACTTTTCTAGCCAAAGGGAAACAAGCATACTTCAGAAACTGATAAATTTTAGTTTGGCTTCTTGTTAAGCTCTCAGTGCAGTATAAACTCAAAGAAAGAGGGGAGAAGATCTTGAGTTCTCAGTTTGATCAATCATGGAGTTACAGGAAAATTTATAAGGTGATTTTATTCAATAAATCACTTGACCATCAAAATTTCCTTATGTAAATAAAGTCGTATTCGTGTCAAGTTGTCCTTGAGTCTGAACCCTTGCACATAAGGAGGTGTAGCACAGGATGTCCGGCTGGGCCTTTAATTTTAGTAAGCCTGCAATGTGCTGAAAACCATGGAATGGTTTCAGTAAAGCTTTCGTGTATCACTCTAGGATAAAATGTCACTGTGATGGATTACTCTAGGAAATAAAACTTATGTCCAGACTGATGAAAGCATGTAACCAACAGATGGAACTGACAAATAATCCCTTTTTTCATTCAGTTCAGATAGAACAATGTTTAGAAATCTGTTTTCTTTGCATAAAGAATGCATTCTTCGGGACATTTTATTATCACAATAAAAAGTCTAATTTAAAATTAAGTACCTTTGAGAGAGAAAAGACCTCTGCAAAGTTCGGGCAAAAGGAAAATGAGATATGGAAATGCCGCTGCCAGTAGCTGTGGTCTTTGCCATTTAAAATATTAAGAGATTCATTAAAAGAACTAATGCCATGAAGAATTTCTTTCAAATATGTATATATATATAAAAATTATTTTATAATGGTTAAATGCATCATTGTCATTGAAACTGAGTAAGTTTTTAAATGATTGAAATGTCTTGGTCTTTCAGATACAAAGTACTGACTAGACATGTGACAAAAAACTTTCAACCAAAAATATCTTATTAGCGTCTGAACATAAAATTGCAAATCTGTATGCATGATATGAGTGTATGGATGTCCATACTTGAAGGCTGCACTTTTATCATAGCTTTAGTGAGAATATAAATACAAATGATAAAATGCACATCATTGCTTTAAATGAGGTCAAATGCTTTCAGTCTAAATCCTCTTTGGGCAAGTTTGGTATTTCTTTGGGTGAATTGGGTCATTCTTCTAAATATTTCTTTTTGCTTCACTTTGTCATTTGCCACTAGAATAATTACACTGAAGACCCCACAACAGAAGTTTCTGACATGGGCCATTGATGCAGACAATAGCAAATAAGCAATTAATTCAAGAAAGGCTATTCCAAAAGGGTGGGAAGAAATTAGATAGAAACCAATTTTCACCATTTAAACTAAGTCCAGTAGGAAAGTGAGGGTTCCTGTGCTCCTTTTACAGTGAATGCAGTCATGAGCTAAAGTTGTGGGCCTGTTTGACACTCCACACTCACTTCCAGAAGCAAAAATCCAGTCATCATCATCTTTTCGTGTGTTTTATTTGGCTCTGATTTACATCTCAGCATCCTTAGTTTAATACAGATACTAGGGTGTTATTCAGCTGATCTAGCTTTAGATATCTGCTATGTACATATCTACGTATCTACATATCATTCAGGTTTCTCATTTTTACTCCCTTTGGCCAGCGGACATGTATAACAGTTACTGGTTCATTCATCTTGGCCTATTTTAGACTCATCTGTCTTAGGATGAGCTGAATTGGACCCTGCACATGCCTCTTTCTCTCCATTTGATGATAAAGGGAGTCTGGACAGCTAGCTCAAACGTAGATTATCTGTATTAGATAAGATGAGGCTGATCCTAGATAGAGGTTTTCTGTAATCTTACAGGTTTGGAGGGGGGAGGTAATGGGAGTATTGGTTTTGGTGTGGGTTTTTTGCTGTAGAAAAATAGGAGTATTTTTAAGACTAATATGAGTACAAAAAGAGATCCTGTTAAACGTTAGAGGTATAATTCTGGTATCATGATGATATTGTTCTGAATTTATCAAACATGACACCAGGAAAAGGCCAGAACCTCATTCAACGCTTATGTGTGAAGTGTGCATATGTGTGTCTGTTGTAATTTGTGATTTTAGTGTGAGAAACAACAGTTTTCTGAAGTAGACTGAGTGTCGAAAAAGCTCCAGGGCGAAGTGAAGACAAACTTCAGAAGCTGCATAATGCGGAGATTTCTGTTGTTAATTTATGCAGATCAGAGGTGAACAGATGTTAAAGTCAGCTGATGTTAAAGTTTAAATGTCGCCTAAGTGTGAAATTGATACTGTATGTTTGATTAATAACAAAAAGCGAAAGCAGTCAGAGAGCAGTGTAATTTTATAGCTATTGAAAATATGAAGAAATGATGTTTATTTAACAGAATTTACTTCAAAAATTTCTGAAAAAAAATCTTCAGAAAAGCTCTATGTTTTGTATTTGCAATTTGCCCTATGGCTGTTGTAAAATTTCTTAATGTTCCTGATTCATATAAGGGTGCTGTTCTGTAATAGGAGCTTGGGAGGTAGTGTGAGAGGAGAGGGGGAGAGTGATAGCAAACAGGAAAAAAACATAAGGAAAAGCAGTTCTTCCATCGCCTTTGGAAGCAGGGGAAATTATGATAACTTGTTTTCCTGTATCAGGATGTCAAGAAATAATTGAGAATGTTGTAACAGTGCTGTCATCCCAGAGCTAAGTTAATTGAACCATATGTATTATTCAACAGACGCAAGCTATAAGGAAATTATGACTCAGTAATAATTCTCTTAAAGTACAAAATATGAGCAAAATATTCAAAAGACTATAGAATAATATATGGGGATGAAATTCTGATAAAATGGGAATTAGGATCTGCAAACTGGCCTCAGTGGTTTTTTTGGTTCTGCAAATGGAGGAAAAATGTGGTTTCACATCCTAACCAAACTGCAGTGAGCGAGGTGGGAAGGTGGAAGTTTGCCCTAATGTAAGGAGGCAGAGACAAAAGCAGAGACTGAGCTTTTGTGTGCACCCTACCAATGAATATGTTTAACAGCTGTTGCAGCGAATGTAGAAGGTAAATATTTCAGTGAATTAAATTGAGACACATTTACATTGAGATTTACATTGGGAAGTTTTAATTGAGAACCTTCAAATTAATTTTAGCTGAAAATGAATAATGTTGAGGCATTATTAGTAAATTGCATTCTGCTTGTTTAGTCAATAATTGTACGTAAGAACATGAAGTTTGCCATTTGCAGCTACATGAAAAAATAAACTTAATGGAGAAATACTAAGTATGCCTGTAAGTTGGGAAAGTGCTAGATGAGTCTTCCAGTTCAGGCAGTATGCAGGAACTACCAGTGTATCAGGCGGTTTGGTGTGTGAGTGACAGGGCATCCTGGTAATTAAATTACGCATTCTGAAAATGAAATTTTTAAGAGCTTGCTGTCCACTGTTAGTGATCTAGATTAGCCATATGTCAGCCAAACGGTCGTGGTCTCTGAGTGTGGAAAATGCTTCATTCAGATATTAACTGGTTACTAGTTGACATAAATACTTCTTAGAATGTTCAGTGGTTTACTTTGAATAACTCTGCCTTCACACTGCAGTCTTGCCATGAATTACGAGTTAAATGCAGTCTGTGTAATTATTAATTCTTTGGGGTTTTTTTCCTTTTAGCAGAAATGTAGTATCTTTTCACAAATATTTTTATCCTTAGAATAAATATGAAAGGTTAGGGGAAAGAAAGAAGAAGAAGAATTATGCATCCTGTGTGGCAGTCCTGAAACTGATATCGAATGTACAGTAAAATAATACAATTATCCTATGGTTATACTATGCACCATTACATGATGAGTTTGTATTTACAAGTGCATTAATTCCAGCTCTAAGGTCAATCAGTACAGAAAGAAAAACATCCTTTTTTTTCCCTTGTGTCCTGATTAAAGAAAGCGCTGGGGTTTTTTTTGTTTGTTTTCAGTCACTTGATGATTGTCTGTTTTAATATCCATCAGTATCCAACTTCTTGCAGATAATCAAAGTTCTCCCTTGATGCATTCTGGAATCATGTCAGAATTTGTGAAGTCAAGGGATTTTTCAGCCTGTGGTTTTCCTTATTGCTTTTATAACATTTGAATTAGGCAGCTGTGGCCTTGGGGGATTTTGTGGTTGCCTTTGCAATTGACGGTATTCATGGTATTGTACCATAAATATTAAGATGTTATGCCTGCAAGACAAATCTTACTAAATTTGCCTTTCAGTTCCTTTTTCTGATACTCTGATCCATTGTGTGAAAGCCTAGAATGATATTTCAGATTGCAATGTTTGTATTTCTGACTGCTACTGAATGTGGTGAACAAACCAAATAAGTTTAACCTTTAATTTTTTTATTTTTCTTACTTGACATAGAGGTGACTTAATTACCTTTGAACTCTCCAAATTTTTGTCTGGTTCAAAACCTAACTTAAATAAACATCCTTTACTCTAGATTGTCTGTTTTATTTCTCCTTTCCACTTTGTGTTATTTTGGGGAGGTTTCAAAGGGAGGCTCCCCAAAGTGCTGTTTGAACAAGGGTGGAAGGTTCGATAGAGAAGATTGTCGGAGCATATGAAATCTTATGTAAGTCGCTATCATCATGCTAGCCAGAAGCTAGCTGCAAAGTCCTCCTTTGCCTTCTGGAAAATGCTTTGTTAATTAGTCAAAAGTAACTGGACTTTGACTGCAGTGTGGAAGACTCTTCATCCAGTTTCTTGGTAGAGCACCATGTTGCCATGCTTCGGCTAATTTGGACTACACTGTGCCGATATCGGTGAAAAGGCTTTTACTGAATGTCAGTGAGGTTGGGGGCAGCTGCCAGCCACTTCT